GGTGAACAAAAAAACTTGGAGAGTTGAGTTAAAGGGAAATAACTGAGACATCTAGAAGAGACATGGCACGTGGAACTAGAACAATCTACCCAGTAGACAAAATAAAGGGTTTGGTTTGAAATTACAATCACCTGAAGAAGGCCAGAGTGTACAATGGCCAAAATGTTGTAAATATGGCAATGATGTTGAGGATAACAGTCCGAATAATGTAAATAGTGGAATTGTTGTGGAATAAAAACAAATTTCAATGAGTTTCTCATGCTCTTATCACTCCTGAATCCTGCCATCATTTGCTTACAAGAAACCGTTCTGCAAGAAAATAATAACCTAAAAACCAAAAATTATGAACACTACCACTACATTCACAATACAGGACACAGAGCCAATGGAGGCACATCAGTACTGATAAGAAATGATATTCTGCAAAGCAAAATGTGTATCAAAACAAAACTACAGGCAATTGCAACATTAGTAATGCCACATAAAACTATCACAATTTCTTATATATATATATATATATATATATATATATATATATACACACACCTTTGCATGAACCAATAAACACACATGACTTAAACAACCTTCCAGATAACTCCCCAAACCCTTTATCATACTAGGGGATTTCAACAGTCATAATTCCATATGGGGCAGCAAAAACCTAGACCCAAAGGTTTAAAAAAAACTAGAAAAGATCATCAACAATAGTAATCTATATCTACTAAACAAATCACCAACCTACCTGAACCCTACTTCTACATCACAATCAGCAATAGATCTAAGTATATGTGATCCAACAATTTTTATGGACTATATATGGATATATGGTGATAAATGTGATAGCGATCATTACCCGATTTTCCTTGAAAACCGAGAACCCAATAACAAGAAAAATTCCACTAAATGGAGACTAAATAAAGCAGACTGGGAAAAATTCAAGTACCAGTGCCAAGAAAAATTGTTACCAAAATACTGGAGAACAAATAGTCCATTTCACTGAAACATTAATAGAAATAGCCACAGAATGCATAACTAAAAGTTAAACAAACAAACAAAAGACAGACCATGGTTCAACAATTAATGTAAGAAAGCCATTCAAGAAAGAAGATCTGCCATCCATAAATTTAAAATTCAACCTTTAACCTCAACGGTAATAACATTCAAAGCAAAAGCTTGGAAAGCAATAACAGAAGCTAAGAGAGAAATCTGGAAAAAATACATGGGTAAACTCACTTCCCAAACTATCTGGAACATGGTATGAAAAATATCCAGAAAAATTACAAACACTCCATTACAACATACCCAAAAAATATAAAATCACAAATACCAACACTCCATCAGAGTGTTTTGCACAGAATTCCTCATCCCAAAACTCAAACAAAAGATTCATAGACATTAAAGAAAATGAAGAAAAGGAAAATATTAAATTCCAAAAAGATAACACAAAAGACTCAACAAACTATTCTCAATAGAGGAACTCTTTGATTCTCTGGTGAAGACTCAGGATACAGCTCTAGGCTCAGATGAGATATCTTATCAATTTCTAAAGCACTTACCTAGAATATCCTATCAATACCTACTTCAACCTAAATATGAACAACAGGGAACATCTCCAACCTCTGAAAACAAGTGACAATAATTCCTATACCGAAAAATCCAAACTATAGACCAGTAGCAATTACCAGTTGCATCTGCAAAACATTTGAGGGGATGGTCAATGCCAGACTAATATGGTACTTAGACCAAAAACCTTATAACTGATGAATCAGAAGCTGTCAAAATGCAAGATAAATAACATGAACAGAATTAATGTTTTTCAATGAAAAAGGGCAAAAAGGATAAAACAACAATCCTGCAGGCAAGTAAGCAAATAATATATTTAAAGCAAGTCAACAGGTAGGAAGGCAAAAGAGTTCACAACCTATAAATTGTTGTTTACATACAAAGCAAGGTCAGACAAGCAAATACAGTACGTCTGGACTGAGGTTATTTACCTTGCCTCTCCTCAAGGCAGGATATGGCACAAGGCCATTTTTTATGTGGGGTTGAATCTGAGCCCACAGGCTTGGGCAAAAATTCCCTGTAGACCCCACATATGTGGGGTTGGGCTTGTCTACTTCCCCACATGTGACTCTGCCCTTCGGCATAGCCTTGTCTGGGTTCCTCTCTGTCTGTAGGCAGAGAGTTCGACAAGTCAGCCTGAACTGCCTGAAACAGCAGATCTGGACTGAGTCATGTCAAAACACAAGCCATCCCATTTTATTGGCTAAGAAAAATATCCCAGCATGCACTTCATGTACTTCCGACTATAAGAGGGGGCAAAGTTTTGCAATCATTCACCTGTCCTGTGAAATCAACAATAACAAACCTCCAAACTGGATTCAAGAAGCACAGGAGTACCACAGACCACTTAATTAGATTAGAAACCCATATAAGAGAAGCTTTAATAAAAAAAGAACACCTTGTAGCATTTTTTTTGATTTGGAAAAATCCTATGACAAAGTCTGGAAACATGGAATCATCAGGGATTTAAAAGAACTTGGATTAGCAGGCAGAATGCCAATTTTTATTAAAAAGTTTTTAAACAATAGGAGTTTTAAAACAAGAATTGCAAACACATTATCTCACCTCAAAATAAAAGAAATGGGTGTATCACAGGGGAATATTTTATCTGTAACTCTATTATTCCACTCTAATAATAGATAGCACCAAAATACCTGTAGTACAACAACAAAAATTTTTAGGCATCATTTTTTACTCCAAATTGACATTTATAGCACACATCAAAGCATTGAGAACCAAATGCAATAAGAGAATTCAGTTGTTGAGAGTAGTGGCCAATATTAATTGGACAGCAGACTGAGCGATTTTACACAAACTATACTGGACACTGATACAAGCTAAATTAGATTACAGTTGTTTCATTTATGGGGCAGCCAGAAAGTCATACTTAAAAACTCTGGGAACTATCCATTATCAAGGATTAAGATTCATGCTTGGAGCATTTAAAACTTTCCCAACAGAAAGCCTGTACATGGAAGCCTATGAATCCTTACCATAACTTCACGCAGAGAACAATTGGCTATACAATATTATACCAAACTGACCTCATGACCCTCAAATTCTGTCTACAATTGTGTCTTTGAGTCGCAATATAAAGCACTTTTCATTAAAAAAGAAAGAGCCATAAAATCTTTTATCCTCCACATGGATGAGCTCATTAAATGCACTCACATTGATGTGAAACAAGTACACAAATCCATCATCTCAGAAAGAGCACCATGGTTACTAAAACAACTAAATCTTATAATGGACCTTGCTAAATATCCCAAGACAAGAACAAACCTAATCATTTTTCTTGAGGAAAAATCATTAACAACAACTACACTAAATATAATTGCATATATACAGATGGATTGAAAGATGGTAACAAAGTGGGATGTGCTGCCATCCATGGAAAAACCAAATTAAAGAAATGGTTACCAGATGGAGCTTCCATATACAGTACAGAAATATCATCCCTCGACCTGACCCTTGATATCATAACAGTAAACAATCATAAAAAATATATCATATACTCAGATTCCTTATCAGTACTCACAGTACTAAAAAATAAAAAATGACCAACCTTCTGACTATAAAACTGCTTAACAATCAACAACCTATCAAAATTAAAAAATATCACCTTCTGCTGGATACCAGGCCACATTTGTAGCTATGGCAATGACAGAGCAGATAAAACAGCAAAGGAATCATTACAGCTGAACCAGATTACCTACAAAGTGTCATACATAGACCTGAAACAAACTATGTTTTAAAAAGTGGCAAGAGATTTAGAACTCCTTCCAAAACAACAAATTATGTTGCATAAAACCCACCCTGGGAAGGTGGCAACTGAGATCCGAAAGATCTCATAAAGAACAGGTCATTATGTTGAGATTGTGCATTGGCCCTACAAAAATCACCCACTCTTTCATACTCAAACTCCACCAGCATATATAGTGTGTCAAACACAATTCACTTTGAATGTGCTGACTTTGCTTTAACCAAAGAACTTTTCTACAAAGAAAATGATGAGAGAACTGTTCAAGAGTGTCAATATAAACAACATTCTAACCTTTCTGAAAGTAGTGAATCTATACCATGAAATATAAAACAATTTTATATATATTTGTTTTGTTTTTTTTAAATTGAAATATTAAAAAAAAAACATACAAATTTATCACTTTGGATTTCAAATATACAGATTCAAGCAAATGATTTCCAATTTATGTATGAACATAATGTCTCTACGAAGAATTTATGTGATAACCTATCCACCAAAAATTTGTCTATTTTACCTTTTTCAGCATTAAATAAGCCAAGAAGGGTCAATATGCCATAAAACCAATCAATCAATCATTCTTTTCAGGTCTGTCTTCTAGATTTTCAATAGGATACCATCCATTTCATTCCTTCTTTCAGTTTATATGTTATTCTGTACTTTTAATCCTCTCTATCTGTTCCAGTTCATATTTTAAATTAACCCTTTTCCTTAATCTGTCACAGGCAAAATATAGTGTCCTTTTGATCATTGGAAGAGAAGCCTGAGGAAAAAAAAAAATAAAAAAAAGTTTTTAACTATTCAGAGTGGTCTTGTGACATTTGTCAAACCAATCTGTCATTCTAAATGATGATTGAACTTCTCATGTCATGCCACTACTGTAGGGACAAGTTTAAAAAATACTTGAAATCATTTCACCTGAACTTTCATAAGCACCTACTTCTCACAATAATTCTCTTCATATCCTAATAAGAACTTATCAATCTTTGTTGGATATTTCAAATGTCTGATGTGTTTCAAGCAATAATCTTCAACATGATGTATAGTTTTTACATTGAAATAATTACGATATTTTTAATAGAAAATGTTATATATGTTGCTTTTAGAAATGTATAAACATTTGTGCTATATATCTACTTTTAAGAATTTATTTTTTTTTACTGTTTTTACATTATAGAAAACAAGTTCCTTCTGAAGCTGAAAATAATTTCTTGAAGAAGGCAGCCACACTGGACACATATGGTGTTGATCCACACCAAGTGAAGGTGGATTGTTATTTACATATTTTTATTTTACTTTTATTTATTTATTTTTTGTTGATTTTTCTTTGCAAAATCCTTTGGGTTTCAAGTCAGATTTTTAGTTATAAACTTGTACTCACCACTTGTCTTATTTATGCATCCTATTATCTAATGAGAATGTTTCATTTATATATATATATATATATATATATATATATATATATATATATATATATATTGTGTATTTAGGCAGTACGAGAGAAGAAACTCTTAGCATAGAACTTATGGTTACATCTAGCCATTTTAACTGTAAAATGATGAAACCTTATTGCCAATCTAGTTCTGTGCTTAAATTCTTAGTCTAAGTACCATAGAGAAAAGTTCATCAGAACAATTCCCTGAAAGTATTTATAGTAAAGGTACAGGGAAGCTACATTATGCTTGTGGGAAAGTGACTGAAGCTAAGATGCCTGGTCAGGACCAATAATATTGCAGATACTTCTTTGGATTGCATCAAGAATCTCTAAATATATATAGATGTACTAGATCATATGTGGCAGCAATATTCAAAGCAAGGATGAATAGTAGATATTATAAATATGTAAGATAGATTCTGGTGAGAAAAATTGTCTAGTATGACACAGTGAACCAACTTTCCTAGCTGCAGACTTAGCAATTGATTCAATATAATGTTTCCACTTCATGTCAGTGGGAAATGTTAGTCCAAGAAGGTGTAATGAGTCCTTCTCTCAGATGTTAGCATCAGCCATGCTGATGGAAGCTAAAAGGGTTCTCTCAAGCTAAAAAATTTTCATTAACAAGCCATTCCTTTCCCCAGTTAACAGCAGATTATAGATCATTTTTGCCAATTTGACCTTATCGAACTTACTATTTACTACTGACAGTGATAGTTGTGAAATCAGCAGAGATACTGATTTGAGAACTGATGCCAGTCAGGAAGTTCATTTATGAAAATTAGGAACAACGTAAGTCCAAGTATTGCACCCTGGGGAACATCTGCATTAATGAAGAAGGATCTAGAAGACACCATTCATTTTGTGGTTAGATAAGAAAGACTGAATCAATTCAAAAATTTGTCAAGAAATACCATAACTTTTCAAATTGTGAAGAAAATCAGTATGCCAAACCATGTCAAATACCTTCGAGATATCCAAAGCAACAGCCCAGGCTTCACCATTCTTATCAAAAGCTTGATAAACACTTTCAGCAATAACCATTAACATATCAGCAGTTGACCTAGAGAAGCGAAAGCCATATTGCTTATCTGAAAGAAGACTCTGTGCGATGAGATGCTTAATCATTTCAGAATTATAGCCTCTAGTACTTTGCCAAAAAGAGGTAGAAGGCTGATAGAAGGATCAAACAGTTTGCCTGAGTTCTTAAAGACTGGAACTACAGAAGAGGATTTCTAACAAGCAGAAAAGAAGCAGCAAGGTATTTATTGTAGAGTTTAGATCACATTTCTTAAGGACTATTGCAAATATGCCATCAAGTTCACATACTTTGTGAAGATCCAGTTTAGAGATGATAGCAGAAATCATAGATGATGTGTTTAGCTTTTTATATATTAAAGATGTATTTAGCTTTTTATTCCTCAAGCTTTTGTTCACTAATGAAAGGTGTCTTCTTGCCAGTGGGAATAGATTTTTTTCTAATTTCAAGAGGAATTACATGATTGGTTTTAGATATATTATGTTGCCTGAACATATTTTTTTTTTTTAGATAAAGCATTGTCATTATTTCTTTTTTTTGTTTTTTTTTTCTTTTCTTACAATGCTCTTTCTTGAGCATCATTATAAAAAAGCAAAAATAAAAAAGAGAAATAGTAAAAAATAACATTAGTAATAATAAAAATACATCATTAAAAAAAACTGAAATTACCAGAAGAAAGAAGTCTACTCTATTTTCCACATTTATTAAGCAATATATATAATAATATTCAATTCCACTATAACATCTTAAATAATAAATGCGAAAATGTCTGTGTGACACCCTTTTTCAATTAAAGGGACACAACAATCTGAAAAATTCATATATCTGAGCGCCATATCCAAAGATTCAGCCTGAAAACAAACATGAGAATTACAATCACAGGTGTCCTTGAAGCAGGAAGATTTGCTTAGCAATAGAACCATCAAAATGGGCCAAAAAGGAGATATTTCACTTCTAAATTATAAGTAATAAAGAACAAGCTACTAACAGAATTTGAACTCTAATTGCTTATCCTTGGGAATCTGAATGAGAAAATACCTTATAAATTAGGCTAACCAGTAACTTTTCCAAATTCATAGTTACATTCTTCCCTATGAAACTTCTTTACTAAATTGCTTGTTTACACTAATAGTATTTGATATAAGTCCCATTCTAAGAAATTTAGACAACATAAGTCTAAATTTCTTAGAATCTTTGACTAGACTGTATTATTTTGCCTTTGTGGATCTTTATTGCAACATTCAGGTTATTTTCTATATTCGTCCTGACAATAAACTACATCTGGCAGCAAAGCCTCCCATTGGGAAGTTTTGAGGAGTGTGGGAACCAGGATGGTAGCATCTGTTAGGGTTCCAGCTATGGGCAAATAGTTTGTCCCCAATCTGGGATCAAAACACTATGAAAGGGTAGAAATACATTTTTGTAGTGAAGGTGTCAGAAATATATTTTTGTGATTAAAAAGTTACCAGCAATGCATTTTAAAAATAATAATTACTACAATACATTTTCATAAAAGAAAATACTAATACTCCCAAAGAAATTAGCTAAACTGCAATTTACATTTTACATGAAACAATTTCACCCATGTTTCAATGTAGGACATTAAAATGCTACCTGACATAGTGAACAAGATGGATTAGAATCTAATTGTTCGTATGAGGAAAATTTCACTTACATGCTGTCAGCTTATTTGATAAACCTACAACCTATCTGTTTATAGCTAGGATAGTGCCTTCAGAAAGATAATATAGTTTCTCCATACAATCTAACAAAATTAAAAAGACATTTAAACAACTAATAAAAAATTCATAATCCACAAAATATCTGTTTGCACAAAGCACTAGGCCTAAACTAACTGTCCATACAAAATATATCTAAAATTGCAATATATAAAATGCACATTCATGAAAACAGATTCCCCAAAACTACAAATTCCCCTCAATGGGGGCCACCTGTTTGCCATGGGTGGAAACCTGTGATGCCCAGTGTCAGAGTCCTGGTGACTCCTGATCCGGTATAAAATTTCCACAACATGTCACTTCAGTCCCAATCTGGGATAGACAGGAGGATGGGATATCCCAATCCAATCCAATCAGCTAGTCACATAGTGGCAAGAGCTAATTGGGATGAAAAATAATGGCTGTAAATCCTTATACCATACTATACGTGGGTGGAGGTATGTGGATGCTCATATACACTTTCAGCATTACTATAGCTTTTGTGTAGCCCTGATGGATCAGGTTGAATGGGATTAGTTCCGCCAATAGTGTGCCCTTAAGGAACTCCAAGGTGGGTGGGGAGCACAGACGATGAATACAAAATTATATGTCTAACTCTTTTAAATGAACTAAGGGAAAATATGAAAACTCGAAAACAGAAAGAGAGTGACAATGAAACATCAGGAAAAAACAATTTCCAATTTTCATAGTCATCATTAGATGGGGGAATAACAAGTGTCACTTTTGTGTTACAAAAGGTTGTATCAGTCATGATAGAACCAAAATCAGTAAAACAAAATAAATAAAAAACACCTAATTCAAGCAAAAACCAAAACAGATGCAGAAAATCAAGCAAATAAGTGACATGAAAGTAAAGGTTTACCCCCACCAGTTTCTTAATTCATCTAAGGGACTAATAAAATGCCCAGAATTTTCACTCTGCTCAACAGGAGACATTAAAAATGATGACACCCTAAAAAAGCAAGGAGTAACAGCCAAAAGAATTCAAATAAAAAGAAATGACATATCCCCATAGATGTCACAAATGCCAGAAATTTGATCATCTACAAAATCTTTGTACAAGAGCATTGAAGATGTGGGGAATTAGTCTGATCATGAAGAGTCACTCTGTGAAAGGCCCTCTTTTATGCACAAATTACAAAAAAAGACAATCAGCAGATTCTAAAGCATGTAATGTCTGGAAAAAGTAAAAAGAAATAAGAATACAATACACGCAAAACATCTCATTCCAAGAAGCCAGAAAACAGGTTGAGACTAATTCGCTTCCAGCATCCTATGCAAATATTGTAAAAATATCAAATAACCAAAATGACATCCAACAGAACAATGCAATAAGAAACAACCAAGACCTTAAAACTAATAAATGATTTAAAAAGTCCAATAAACTACTAAAATTTAGCATATCACACATGAACTAAACTTCTATGGTCAAAACAAATCCTATCACATCAACCTCAAACAAAAAAGAATCTATAATACAAAACAAATAACTCTGAAAACCCCAATCTAAAGTACAAAAATCCTTCAAGAAATAGAATCTTCCAAACATTAACAACAAAACCAAAAACTTCATAAAAGAAATATGAACAAAACTCTATCTCATCTCAAAGAAGGGAACAGTCATCATCCAAACAAAGATCGTCAAAAGAACCTAATGGAAAATCTAAGGAAACAAGATCAAACAAACAAGCAGAAACAAAAGACCTTCAAAGAACAAAACATGACAAGAAACAAATTCTAAGAGATCTGAGAGCATAGAAATTACCCACTAAACATAAACCAGACAAGCAAAAACTCATAACACCCTAATACATAAACATGAGGCAAAAATTATATGGTGGAATTGTTATGACCTAAAAGAAACAGAAATGAACTACTCCTACTCATAACAAATCAACTTCCCACCTACGTGAAACTGAACCAAGTAATCACTTCCCCAACTGAGAAAATGTCTCTGTGAAAGCAGAAGCAGTACCACGTTCATGAACATACTGACTATTCTCTCTAGCATGATGTTTTTTATGCAGAGTTGATCTCACAAAGAATTTGCAT